CAGCGCCCCAGGATGAGAACCATGGCACATTCTTACTTACCTACAGTTAACACTTTCCAGCGAAGATGCTGACATTCCAGCGTGGAGATTGTTGCTCCTCATTCCAGCCTCTGCTGCATCCTCCTCGTGCTCCCTGCCCCCAGAGATCTGCCTCAGCCAGCACCCCGATCTTTTCGTCCCTTTACCTGTCTATCTTGGTCCGTGTGTGCTGCTGTAACAAAGTCCTGTCGATGGAGTGGCTTATAAACAACAGACACGTATTTCTCGCCATTCCGAAGCTAGGAGTTTGAGATCAGGGCACCAGCGTGGTCAGGTTCTGGAACAGGTCCCTGCCAGGCTGCAGCCTGCCTTTGCGCTGTGCCCTCTGGATTCCTACAAGGGCCTTGATCCCACCCATGGGGCTCCCCTGCATGGCTTCACCTAGTTCCTCGTCACATCCCAAAGGCACGATCTCCTCGTCCCTTCATATTGGAGAGGGGAGTTTCAACATATGAATTTGGGGAGGACACAGTCAGGCCATCGCACCCTGTGAGTGCTCCTGGGCTGTGCATTTTGAGGTCATAGGTCGAGGAGAGTTTCAGGATGCAGTTTAACAGGAAGAATGAGATTCAGACTTCACTGACTCCAGCTCTTTATTTTTCTCATTGAAAGACTCAAGGCAGCCTTTTTCTTCAGGGAGCCTCACTCTCCTCACTTACCACCTAGCAATGGGGCTTTCAAATGTGCCCTGCAGTGGTCGCCACTAAGTTAGATGCTGAAATCTTTCCACAGTGGGTAGGCTTTAGGGCAGCGGTTCTCAACCTGTGGGTTGCAGCTCCTTTGGCGGTTGAACGTCCCTTTCACAGGTGTCGCCTAAGACCATCCTGCATATCAGATATTTACATTACGATTCATAACAGTAGCAACGTTACAGTTATGAAGTAGCAACAAAAATAATTTTGTTTGTTTATTTTTTTAATTAAATCTTTATTGTTCAGATTATTACATTTGTTCCTCTTTTTTCCCCCCATAATTCCCCTCCTCCCAGTTCCCGCCCCCCCCCTGCCCTCACTCCCCAC